CACGCCACACTCTCTCTCACACACACTCTCTCTCTCACATACACGCACACACACACACTCTCTCTCACACACACGCACACACACACACTCTCTCTCACACACACACTCTCTCACACACACGCACACATACACACACAATCACATACCATCCACACACACAAACACAAACACACATTCAAACCACCCACCCAAAAGGTGACGGCTACGCTTTTGCGCCCTTCAACTTTGAGAAGAAGGAGGGCGAGACCGTCTGACACCAAACCGCGACGCTTCCCAGGCAGCCGCCAGCGGCAGACGGCAGTGGGTGCGGGCAGGAAAAGAGGGCCGTCCTCATGCAAGCCATGGGCGGCAAGGCAGGCCCCTGGTGGGTTCGACGACCCAAGCCAGGGGCGGCGCGGCATGGGGGGTGGTGCTCATGGCAAGCTGCCCGCCGCCGCGGGCGCTTCGATCTGGTCTGATTCTTTCTACTCTTGTGTAATTGTCAGCATTCCCATCTGCTGCCAGTGCTCGAGGTGTCTGCATTGCCAGTGGAGAGTCCATTGGGGAAGCTTCTCTAAGGTGTTCAAGACCAGCGCCCCACACCCCCCTCCCTGTGCTGCACGCACGCGGCACGACGAGCGGAGGCCAAGGACACGTCAGTGGGTTTTTCACGCGGGGCCCTCGTTCCTTGTTTATTCCTGCTCTTCTCAGCGCCGTTGAATAAACCGCCACAAAAGTGAGTTGCAGCCGGGCCGGTAAATGGTGGGTGGGCACCGTGACAGCACTGCAAACTGGCCCCATCCGAAACACTGCAGCAGCAGGTGGTTACAGCAGCGCGCAGCGCGCCGTCGATGTATGACGCAGGTCGCGCGAGCCCAGCGCGGCAACGCGGCGCTGCTGCGCCAAAGCTCAATGCTCGCGCTGCTCGGCTACAGTATTGGGTTCGTTATCGGAGCGGGTTGCGATATCACTTGGCAAGCAACGCGCCGCGTGATTGGAGCATGCAATGCGTCGGCCCCGGGCCCGGCTGTCCTGCAGTTGCAGGGCTCAAAAGGTCGGGCTCGTGGCCGCGCAAAGACACCTGCAGCCAGCGCGCATTCGCAGCGCCGGGGGCAGGCAATAATAACATAATAACAAATCGACGCCAGGCTCTCTGGCGCGAAATGGGGGGAGTGTTCTCGGCCAGCAAGCCCCACCGCCGTTCAGCGAGGGCTGTGGTCATGCCGCGCCGAAGGAGGGGGCCTTGCAAGCAAAGCACATGCCCATATAGCCGCCGCGGCGGCGGCCAGGACCCAATCAGTGGGCCGCCAAGGCGGCGGCCCGGGGCTGCAGCAGTGAGGCGAAGGCATTACTAGGCCAAGGCGTCGCCGCGCCGCGGCTCGGCGGCTTGAAATACCGGGATCACCGCCTTGCTGGTTTTACCGACAGGCTGTTGAAGAAGACGTTATCGGGGTCGTACTTCTTTTTGATCTGCTGCAGCCTCGGGTAGTTCGTGCCGAAATAGTTCTCCACCCTGTCAAACCTGCCCGCGGGGTGGCGGTTGTGGGCCGCTGTGGTCGCATTGCTGCTGAAAACCTTTGGAGTGGCCAGCAACTCAGGGTCTGCCCATGTGTCAAGGCAGGCTGCCATGCGGCTGTCACCACCAAACATAAAAACAGGAGAAAGCGTGCCGTCCATCCAGCAAGCATTTAACGGAGCAAGTGCAGCACAGCCCACGCGCGCGCCCACCTGTTGATCCATCCGTTGTACTCTGCGCGGGCCTCGCTGAGCGCCGCTACCACCCCCCTCGTCCGCTCAAACCACGCCCATATCGGCGCCGTCACCGCCGCCGGCTGCTGCGCCGCAGTCCGGCGCATACCGAAAGACACCCCCCACTCGCACATCAGCCGCGCTTCCCGGTGGCCGAACGCCGACGCGGCGGGCGGCACCTTTGTTACGCCCGGCCCCAAGACGCGGCATGACATTTGACGCCACGCGCGAATTGTGGGCGCGGAGAACGCCTCTTTCAACGCCTCCACGCCCGAGATCGGGATCGGGGTTTTAAAGAGCGCGGAGCGGTATTGCGCCGCCTCAGACATGAACGCCAGCGGCCCGCCGGGCCTCACCTGCGGGCCGGAAACGCAGATGGGAGTCGGGGTTATGCGGGGCGCGCGCGGACGGGCGCGCGGAGGGCGTCCGAGGTCCGGGCGCCGCAGCTCAAAGGTGGGCGAGCAGGCGCGCGCTGCAATGGATAAGGGGTACAGGCCGCGGCAGGCCACGTAGCGCGCCGCGCCGCGCCGCGCACCCGCTGCGGCACGCGCGTCGCCTCGGGTGGCGAGCAGTAGGGCGGCAGCGGCAGGTTGCTGGCCGTCTTCCAGCCCCCCTTTGGCCCCGCCGGCACGACCGACGACTCGATCGCCCAGCCTCGGTAGCCCTGGATGTCGCACTCTGCCGCCTCATAGAGCGCGCCTGGCAGGATGAGGCCTGACTCGTCCTTCAGCAGGCGGTCAAGCTCCTTCTTTGGCCCGAGGTACTGCGTCCGGGCCGCGGGGCGGTTGTGTGTGTCGATGTGGGGGAGCAAGGCCAGGGTCGACCTGGCTGATGCCGCGCGTTTTGCCCGAGAGGTCTTGTGAGCTGCGTCAGAGGCGCGGCTGCGCAAGCACTGAGCAGGGCGCTCGGCAGTCCGATGGTGCATGGAATCGCAGGGTTTACGGGTTAGGGTTTTGGGGGCCTATACCTATAACAGGCGCCTGGCCTGCAGCGGATGGGAAGCCTCAGGCGCTGTGAGCCATGCGTTGCGTCCGAACCCTGTTGCCACACCCCTCAGCGCCCAGTCCTTTGCTTCCCCGGCGCCCGACCCCATCGACCACCCCCCACCGCCGCTCAACACAGCCCACGACGCTCCCACACCGACCCACACCAACCACACCCTTTTCTCTGGGTGCGAATCCCTCCCTTTCCGCCCCTACCACACCCACCCGCCCTATCATCATCCCAAACCCCACACACAACTCGCTTACTGTCAAAAACAAACACACACACACACACACACGCGCGCGCGCGCTCAAGAACGCACGTGTGCATGCACGCACACACACACACACACACACACACACACACACACACACACACACACACTCAAACACATGTGCGCGCACACACACACGCACAGGTGTGCATGCACGCACACACACACTCAAACTCACGCGCGCGCACTCACACACACACACACACACACACACACATACACACATGGCATGCCCCATACCTGCATGTTGATGTCAATCTTGTCGGGCTTTAGGTTGAAACCAAAAGTCAGCTCAGCCGGGGCGCCTGGTGCCCACCTCTGGTACCTGCAGACTTGATCATTTTGATAACAGAGCGATGGGCTGTGTTTGGGATGGGGTGGCTTGTGCTGTTGGAAGCCGTGAGTGCGCCCCTGACGGGCTTTAGGGAGGAAGACCGCCGGGGGCCGAGGGGCAAGGCCGACGGGGCCGTCAGCAGGCAGCACACGCGCGCGTTCGTGCATGCACGCACGCATGCACGCACGCACGCACGCACGCACGCACGCACAACGCACGCACGCGTGCGCGCGCCCTGGCGTGTGGGCGGGCGCAAGGGTCAGGCACGAACAATGCAATAGGCTGCCGCCTCGCCCGCCGATTTCACACGCACCTGTCAAACAGCTGCACCGCCTTCTCGAGGTTGGCGTACTTGATCCGAGCCACAGTGACCACGGGGATCTCCAGAAGTCTAACAGTCGCCTCCACCACGATGCCATACGTCCCGCCCCCACCGCCCTTGAGTGCAAACAGCAGGTCCGGGTTCAGCTTCTCGCTGGCTTCCAGCAGGCGCCCCTTGGCGTCCACCACAGTGGCCGAAATCAGGGAGTCGGACAAAAGGCCGTACTTGCGGCTGAGGTCGCCGTAGCCGCCCGCGGCGAGGATGCCGCCAAAGCCAATCTGCGGGGTTTATGCAGGCAGACGCGACACGTGGGCAGTGACGAAACACTGGCCAGAGGTGAGCTGCTGATCAAGCATCTTATGCTGTGATGTCAACATCAGCAGCGCGCTCTTTTGCGGGCATAATGGCGAGGCCGCACGGAACCGAAGGGTTCACTGCTTGCTTGCGGCTGATACGCAACCGCGTCGCCGCCGCGCCGGCCTCACCTGGGGGTACGTGCCGCCGAGGCAAGTGAGGTTGCGGCCGCCCGCGGCGCGTCCGGCCCGGAAGATCTCGTAGTACAGATTTCCTGTTCGTATTCCCGCCTGCGCCGTTACTGTCATCGCTTTTGGGTCGACGCGGACCGCTGCCATGTTGGAGAGGTCGATGACTAAGGCGCCGTCTGCAGTACCGAGGTTTTCAAAGCTGCACCTGCAGGGCAGACGCGGCCGGGGAGGGGGGGCGAGGCGACGCGCGCTGTGCTGGGCTCCCGTAGGTGGCTGAACAGCGGGCGCAGCCGGAGTCTGCAATCGCAAATAGCTTGTGTTGTGCACGTTTCCGCATGCACCGTGCCGGGTCGAGCGTCGAAGCAGCGCGCGACAAATCACAGCATATGACGGAGAGTGCCGCAGCCGCGGATTCGCATCCCCAGGTCGCCTCCCGCACGCGCGGCATCTGCCAAGCGGCGCCGGGCGGCCCGGCGGGGCAC